ACATGAAGACTTCTTACTTCTTTTCAAATCCACTTAAACATTGATTGTTTGCTTGTTTAGCCTACGCAGCTCCTCCATGTTGAACCTTTCTGCATGTTCATTAATTAGTGAACTACATCACAGCAGGAGGCGATCCGACATGTTTCCATCCTGACAGCAGCCATTTTGTTCTTCCATTTTTGTCTTGCACATATTTCGTTGTTGGTTGATGTCTGTTTTAGCTGACCTAACATTTTGTGAAATAGTTTTTTCCAACATCAGGAGAAGGACAGGCTGGAGCAAACCGGAAGGGGCGGGGCTGTCAGCCTCAGACCTTATTTGGAAATGGACAGTTGCACTGCGGAAGTGAAGGGGGCGCTACTTTCTATATTGTCTACGGTCTCCCGTTTTTTTATTTTTTAATCTGTGAAATCTTCATTGTTGGGAAGGATTTTCACTCTCAGACTGTATTTTAATTTCTCTCTTTGATTCACGTCAGTGCAGCTCAGTTTTTAACAAATTCTGTAGCTTTCTGTGTATTTCTAAATGCTCCTCAGTCGCATCTTTTCAGGGCTAATACTGCCTCTAGTGGCGTGGGGGAGGTAGCACAATTAACATAACGATGTCATAAATGAAAATAGGAGAAAGTCTTTCTGTTGATTACTCATTTTTCATTTTCATAAGGAGGTGGAAATAATTAAATGACAAACAAAACCTCAAAGTGATTCCAGTTTCTCTCGACAGTCAATGAGTTGAAACTGTGGCAAATTTTAAATACTCTGGGTTGTTCCGGACAGTCGACTCAACTTTCAATGAAAACACTGTATCATTAAGAACTGTTGAATTCTATCTTCAAGAAGATCTGAAGACCTTCTAGTTGTGTGCAAGACAATGTTGAGTGTTAACTTTTCATCTCCTTGGCGGGTTTGGTCACATGAGCTGCAGACAAACTTTTAATAAAACTTTCAATGGCAGGTATAACAGCAGGTAAATAGTGGTGAAACCAAAAACATCTCTGTCTCAACTGTTTGTTTGTACTGGTGATGTTTGATTGATGTGTGAAAAAGAAAGTGACTGAATGGTGACAGTATTTATTGCCTGTAAGGTGGACGGAATAAACGCGCGAAAGTCCGTGAGAGAACAGAGTCTGATTCCTGATCACATCCCGCCTTCAGCATCAACACCACAGAGCCCAGAGGTCAGAGGGTCAGAGGGTCAGAGGGTCAGAGGTCGAGGGTCTTCCACCAGTTGCAGGTTCAGGGCTGAAAGCTTGGCTGACACATCTATCTATCTATCTATCTATCTATCTATCTATCTATCTATCTATCTATCTATCTATCTATCTATCTATCTACTATCTATCTATATCTATCTATCTATCTATCTATCTATCTATCTATCTATCTCTATCTATCTATCTATCTATCTATCTATCTATCTATCTACTATCTATCTATCTATCTATCTATCTATCTATCTATCTTTCTATCTATCTATCTATCTATCTATCTATCTATCTATCTATCTATCTATCTATCTATCTATCTATCTATCTATCTATCTATCTATCTATCTATCTATCTATCTATCTATCTATCTATCTATCTATCTATCTATCTAATCTATCTATCTATCTATCTATCTATCTATATTCATGTTTACATATCTACATCTATATATCTAGGTAGTTGTATAGATATTGACTTGTAGATATATTTAGATATCTACCTATAGATTATACATCTTTATATAGAGAGAGGCACATATATAGAGAGATAGATTTAGATACAGATCAATATTATATCTGTATAAATAGATCAATTTATTTTGGCCAGAAAGATAGTTTTCCAAATTTTTCCCAGTTGTATCGGTTTAGAGTTCTAAAAGGCTGTTTTTGTTCCATGTTGTTTTCATTTTCTTTTGCAAATCTCCCTTTAATTAATAAAAGTGGTTCTCTTATTTTCTGTTTGAATTAGAAATAAAAATCTTGCAGTGGATGAACATGAGTACTGATGTTGAACGTGGGGGAAACCGGAGCACCCGGAGTGAACCCACACCTGCACGCGGAGACATTTCCCACTGTGCAGTCCCGGCTTTTAATATTCAAATGTCCAATTAACAACAATAGTCTGTCTTTTTCCAATCACCATCACCACCAATCACCCAACCCACACGTGGCCCCACCCCTTTGAAAATACTAGAGACATAAATCGATGTCTACGCTGGACGGAGTTTATGTCTGTTATTAAACTGGCGCAGACAAGATGGAGTCAAAGCCTTTTTTAAACAATGAAATCTGTTTCTTGGGTCTTTCTGCTGGTTCAGTGATGTCATTCTGCTCAGCTGACTCTTCAGCTGCTTGAGTTTCTGATTCCTCAGTTGTTTGGATTACGTCTTTGTTGAAAGTAATCTTCATCTGTGGAGGGCATGATCACTGTTCTTCGGTTAGGCCTCTCTCCCTGTCTGTGGAAACTGCAGGAACATTACCTGTAACGTCTTCTGCAACGGTTTATTTCTAATTCACTTTTTGATCACTTGGTGTTTTGGATCAAATTTGGATCCGTCTCTCCTGTGTTTGCAATGGTTTCCAGATCAGCTTTCATTGCTATGTTTGTCTTTTTCTCACATTTAGATTTAGTGAACAGCCTTCTTTCGTCTCGCTGGTCCCCATCTTGTTGTATTTTAGGGACCATTTCGTCTTCAATCACTGATTCGTTTCTGTGAATCTCTACTATGATGGTGGCCGACTGATCCGTCCCTGTTTCTGGAACTGAAACTTCTTTGTGTTCGCTGCTTTGTTTAGAAATGTTTTCATTACTGTCAGCTTTCAGTTTACAGGCAGCTCTGATTGCTGCCTTTCTCCTGATTTTACGCTGACAGCTTTTTGATGGTTTTTATCATGTTGCTGGTTCCCATTTCCTTGTGTTGTTGAGAACATTTCTTTGGTGATCTGCTGCACTTTAGCGACCTTTGTTTCAATCATGTGAATGTAATCTCTGATGGAAGCTCACTGGTCCCCAACCGTTTGTGGTCCAGAAACCTCGTCTGGTTTACTGTTTGCTCCAGAAACCTCTTCATCGTTGAGGTTTCCATTTCACAGGCAGCTCTGATTGCCGACTCTCTCCTGTTCTCACCTGCAGATCTCTGCAATTGCTTGGTCTGATGATCCTGGTTCCCATTCAGCTGGGTTTCAGAGGGCTGTTTTCTTGGGCAATAAAAAGAACTCAGTTTGCGTAGAAGTTGTTCTACTGGCTGGTTTTATTGATAACTGCCTTCCTGTGAATCCATCTCTGTTTGGACTGAAGCAGATTGACAATGGACTGTTTTCTGCTTTGAGCAGTCTTGTGAATCTGCCTGATTTTGACCAGAAACCATTGAATCCTTGCTTTGTTTTCGCTCTGAGAGGACTTTCCTCATCAGATCTTTCTGCTGTCTAAGATTGGCATGTAGTTTCTGATTGATATAGAACATTTCATCCAGCTGCTTCATCAAGTATTTCTGTACTCTGATGTATTCCAATTCCGTCTCCTTAAATTTGGCCAGACATCCACACTGTGCTTGAGACGTCTGCTCAGAAGAGTGGGGACATTTCTCTCCGTTTCGATCCAGTGTCTCCTGCGGTGTGACGATGGAATCCTTTTTGGTGACTCGCTGTGCTGCAGAAATCACAGTGTTGTTGGAATAACTTGCCTTTTTCAAGGAAGCTGCCTCATCACGTTCTTGTGGCGGCATTGAAACATTTTGTGTTTCAATATTCTCAGTCAAAAAACTTAGATCCGTGCGAGGTCCTGACTTGGGGAGCGTTTCCCAAAATGTCTTCTTTCCATTATTGTTGTTGCTGTTTTCAGTAAAAAAACTCCAGATCTGTGGAAGCGCCTGGCTCGGGGAAAGATTTCATAACAGTGGCGTCTTCTTGGTGCGCTTACTCTTTGATGTTTGTTTCTCCCTTTGTGATCCACTTTCTTTTCCGTGACCAGTTCTGTGGTAGACATCACAGGTTTCTTGGCAAATCTCCTTCAGGGAATCTTGCTGATCACTTTGGTCTTCAGGCAGAGAAGTGTCCTGCTTATCAACGTTTTCGGCTCCAGACTTTATGGGCCGTTCCTGCTCTGCAATATCTCGTCTCCTGCACTCCAGCGATGCACTCTTTGTCACTGACCAGTGGATCGTTCCGCTTTTCAATATTTCCTGCAGAAATCTCTTGGTCAGAGATTCCTCCGATCAGGTTTTCAGTGGTACCTGGTTCTTCTCATTGGACTCACTCTGAGGCGTCAGTCTGACCCCCTTTCGATCCATGGTCTCCTGGGTGTCGGCCATCGATTCACTTTCATCCTGCTGTTCGATATTTTCAGCAGGAATCTTGAGCTGCTCAGGTGCGTGCAGCTCCAACCAGACTGCAGAAAGAGTGAGAAGGACCTCACTGTCATTTAATTGGCTGTACATCCTTAAGAAAACGAAACGGTATGTTCTTTTGTGAGGGAATTTATTTTACGGTTCCAGTAATGCCAGAATTAAGATTAAGCAATAAAGACTTTGTGGTATTCTGATTTAGTTGTTACCTCCCCACGCCACTAGAGGCAGTATCAGCCTGAAAAGATGCAACTAAGGAGCAGATTTAGAAATACACAGAAAGCTACAGAATCTGTTAAAACTGTGAGCTGCACTGAAGTGAAGAAAAGACAGAAGTTCAATCAGAGTGAAAATCCCTCCTAAAGGTGAAAATATATTCACAGATTTCCAAAGAAAATAAAAACAGGAGACCGCAGATATTATAGGAAACAGCGCCCCCTTCACTTCCGGAGTGCAATGGTCCCATTTCCATATAAGGTCTGAGGCTGACAGCGGCCCGTCCCCTTCCTGTTGCTGCAGCCTGGTGAACTTGAGCTGCAGCAGAAAATAGAAATATTTTCAGACGTTTGTAATGGAAACTCAGCAGCCCTCTTACTGTAGACACTAACTGCACCACAAGAAAAACACAAAGCTGAACATTTATACAATTTGTGCTTTATTGAGAAAAACGATTGTACAACGTAGTGTTGATTGCAGTAGCAGTAGATCATAAGAGCAGAGCCCATAACTACCATGTATCACACAGAAAACATGGACATGGTGTTTCATGGCATTTCAACAAAGAGGCATGAAATGGCAACAGATAGAGAGAAATACCCTGAAATAACTAAATTCTTTACTTGCTGCACATGTTCCTGGTAAACGGGAGTAAAATTGGACACTGCAGTTGCAGTTTCGTCATTTGGCGATGGCTTGACAGAGACTTCACTGAAGCCATAAAGCAAGAGGCCACAGAACATCTGCACAGCAAAATCTGGAGGAACCCGGAATTAAAACATAAAGCAATCGAGACAAAGAAGCCTGGCAATAAGAGATTCCTATAAATTAGTACATTCCACTGTGTACAACCTGCTCTTAAATGGCTTAAACACACAAGATTATCCATCACCTGAAGATTATTCCTCCCTGATCAAATGTTTATCCCTAGAAACACACCATCGTTTCATTCACATCCATAAACCAACGTTGTGTAATACAGGAGGGCACTGTGCGTTTTCTGAAACTACTTAAAAGTGCAAATCATATTTATTAGATCCAATAAAAACTAAAAAACCCTTTAACTGTTCCTGGATGTTTTAAAATGATCTGTACAGAACAATAGTAATAGTAAGAGTCTGGTGACTAATAATTTTACCTACAAGGTGCAGTTAAGGTAGATCAGTTTACACACAGGTGTTAATTTATTTTAGTTCTTTATTTCATATGGCTGCTCTGCTTAGTTAATGCTTTTTATATAAATGTATGCATGACACAAAGTGCGTTACGTGCCAGTGTATCGCTTGGTTTGAATGCTGAGCGAAATCGACATTTATAGGTGGAAATGGAGGAATTAGGAATAGTAAATGTTACATCACCTTATTTGTTCATCTATCTTAGAACTTTAAAAAAATTACACAAACATGCAAAGATGTAAAAAAAAACTTTTTAAAAAATGAAGAAACATAAAAGGTAACAACAACCTGTCCAATTCTACTCCAACTAATAGTAAATTATTTCCGCTGTTGCAAAGTAAAACATGATTTTTGAAAAAAAGCAAAGCCTCTTTACTTTATTCTAGTGATCAGATAAGCAGCTGGATTTCTGTGTATAGGAGCGTCAATCAAAATATATAATCTTTGGTCATCTTGAGGGACGGCATGGCTTCGTTGACGTTCTGGTCCAGGCGCCGATAGTCTCCGTTGTTACGGGAGCATAAACCCTCCTTCCAGCGGCGGCTCTGAACCAGCAGGAAGATCTGAACAACGGGACCAGATGGAGAGAAATTACAGAAATGAAAGAGATCAGACTGATGAACATCGATTTGTTCGGTCACCTCAACTATTGTCAGGAGGACAAATAGATGAATCAACCCTGATTTTTACTTGAAATTCGGGGTGAGCAACAAGTTGCATCAACCTTCAGCTTCTATGCTCCAAACTGCAAAACTGATGAAACACTGATTTCCTTTAAACCGAGGCTAAAAACTCAGAACAGAAAAGGATTAGGGTCAATGAAAAAACAAGAACAAAACAGGCAGAAAAAAATGTAGGAAGGAGAAAAGTCAAAAGTTGGTGCTTTATGTTGACAAGATGGCAGCTAAAAACAAAGCTAGCTACCGTTAGCGAGCAGCTTTTGCCCTCCAGCAGGAAGCGGTTCATATTTTCTAAACATGTCATGGACAGTTTCCCCCAGAAAACCTGCTAAGCCAAGTGGTAGCGGCGCTAGCGCAGTCTGCTACATCCCGCCCGTTTTATGCTAATAAATGCTAAAAGTTTCAAAAATCCATAATTTGTAAACAGGATGTGAAAATAGTTCAGTGCTTCAACTATTGAATAATAAAAAATCTGCATAGAAAACCATTTTAAAACACACAACGCTCAGCCTGGTGGGGAAGGAAAGCCTGATGGCTGCCAGGCTGAGAAAACACCAAAGTTTGAGAGACGAACAAAAACATTGATTCTCCGAACACACCAGTGAAACGGCAGTTACTGTCCATCCAAACTGGACCGATTACCAACACATGTCCAAGCCTCACCTTCTTGTTGTGATAGGTGATGTAGACGACGGCCACCAGGAAGGCCAGGATGACCAGGTGGAAGAAGAAGTGGGAATCCTGTTCCTCTGAGCTGAAAATGTCGGCTTCCTCCAGCACATTAACCGGCTGCTTGGTGTTGATTTGCCCCTTAGTTTTCTTCCCCCCTTCATAGGAAGAAACTATGAAGTCTTCGTCATAATTGTATTCTTCAACAGGTTCGGAGGGGAAGTTTCTGTTTGCTTCACTGTATTAAGCTGTGGCTCTACGCTTTCTGCTGGGGAGGTGCCCTGGACATCGGGCTCACCTGTTGTCTGGGTCACCTTGATGCTGGCGGTGGGAGCAGGAGAGGTCGTCTTGACTGCATTCTCTTCCGTAGTTTCTTTCATAGTTTCTTTCGTAGTCTTTTCATCTGCAGGTGGAGGCAGCGTGGCCCTAGCGTTTTTCTTGCTCTGTGCTGAAAGACGCGTGGTGGGCTCTACTTGACGGGGCGACTTGGCATCCTTGGCCTCTGCAGTTGTCGGTTTGGGGGCGGCAGCAGTTGTCGGTTTGGGGGCGGCAGCAGTTGTCGGTTTGGGGGCGGCAGCAGTTGTCGATGCGAGCTTTGGACTTGGTGTACTCTGTTCTGTTCTGTTTGTCTGAGCTGCTGCCACAGCCAAGGCAGTCAAATCAGCAGTCTGGAAACCTGATGAAGAGAAATAACAAAAATATTATATACATGTACATCGATACACAAGTATCTGAAGTGCTGCCAAACTGGTGTGTGACGTTTCTTGTTTTATCCAGTTTTCTCTCCGTTGTTTTCTTAAAGCAGATATGAGGCACAATGGAGAAACTTTAAACTGCTGCTGTGTAAGTTGTGCTTCTGGATCAGAGTTCAGTCAATATTCGATCAGAATCTGTTGATACTGATCACGAGTCTATCTAGAAATATTGTCATATATTGCAGAAAAATAGAAACTTTCATCGTCTTACTGGCATGTCTGTGATAAAAACCTGAATTTATATGAAATTTTAATAAAACATGTTTTTCCTCACAAAGACATGAGGAACAAAAATGCAGAAAATGTCAATTCAAATCAAGAAGTTATTGTGATTCACAAAATTGTCGACATTTTGGCAACGTTTTAATGTATTTATAATATAGATTGCTTTTTCAATTCTGAACTTTAATTTTGTAAAGACCTCTGGACACTGAAACTGGAAGATATTTTTAATACCCAAAATGAAACATGACACCCAAAACAAAGCAGAAACCAAACAGATGAAGACTAAATAAAACTTCCCTTCAACAAATATCAGAATCATTTTAATTTATAATGTGATTAATTGATTATTGTGACAGTGAAAACAAGACATTCTGTCCCAAATTCATCACGTCTAAAAATGAACCGACTGCATTTTTCTACAGTCAGACAGGAAAAACAGACGCGTTATTTATGTAAATAAATCTATTCAGTGCTGCAGAAATATTTATACTGTTATTTTTCCTACAACTTCAGCCCACCTGAACGTTCAGACATCACTGAACTAAACCTGATTTTTACATCTTTGATCCATTCAATCAAGCCCAAAATAATTTGAAGAACATGTTTTTAATATTTGTATCTAATATTAAACAAACATTTCTTTCCAACAAGATCATTTCTTCTTTTTTTAATTTTAAATCATATTTTTTGGCCAAAGAGTATTTGTCCCAAAGAACATCAATGCCTGTAGTTATTAATCTTATCTTGCCTCCTGTTCAAACAAACCGTTCACACTTACAATTTATTTATTTAATTAGGTTTTTTTTGTTTGTTTTTGCAAAAGCTTGAATTTCCAGCAAACTGCAGCCAGTAACTATAAACCAAATTTGAAGGCGTCTTTAAATTCATGTCAGTGACAACATGAACCAAACAAGTGTTGCCATTATTTCCTGCTCAGAGAAAATGAGGCGCTGCTTCGGACGGGACAGGAGGTGAACACTGACGACTTTAAGTGTGCAGTGAGACGCCCCCGAAAGAAGAAAGGGCCTATTCAAAGTCAGGGGCCTTCTCCAGCATAAATCATCCCTAAACAGGAGCCGCTTGTTTAGTTTTTCTGAGTAAAACATGAAACATTCAGGATATAGAGAGGATATAGAAAGTAAAATCTGAAAATGTTGCAAAACAAAAATCTGAAACTTAAAATATTGTAAATTGCTCACATGACGGTGCTACGTTTATAAATCAAACCTTTTCATTTTATCAAATATAAAACTGAAATAAAAGCCAAAACTGCATCAGTCACAAAAACAAATGTTGCTGGACGACAAATTATCCTAAAAGTTACAGAGATAAACGATAATATTATGTTTTAAGACCATTTTTTAATAATATTGATAATAATAGAATGGCATAATTATCCAAGAACTCATTCTCATGGACCAATAACCTTTGAACTTAAACATTTAGCTCTGTAACTGGAAGACATTTTAAACATCCAAAATAAATAAACAAACAACAAATAAAATGAATTATAAACCAAATTATTCTTCAAAACACTGTTAGCAGAGGCCAAAACACCAGACTGAAGACTTTCCATCCAGTTTTTGGTGAAAAGAAAAAAACAATAAATCATGCAATTGATCATGTGATTAATTTATTTCTGCAGGCCCTTAAACAGAAAACCTTGACGCTGCTTCTCCACTGAGAGAGGGAGGAGCTGCGCCTCGAAGGCGGGGCTACGTCCACCCAGGCGTTTTGCTCAGCTGAGTGGTTGGCATGGAGATTAAAGGATTGTCAAACATGCATGAATAATGAAGACAAGACTCCAGGCATGAGGGAATAACATTGGGACATGAAGTAAAACTATGCTGACCTTTAAATAGCTGAAATTACAGAAACTTTTCAGAGGAAGACAAAATTATAATGCTTTAATAATAATAATAATAATAATAATGCTCTTGTGGCTTTAGAAACCCACATATGCATGAAAACCAGGAAGTAAAGGGATGACTGACTAGAACAAATAGAAGGAGCTGTAACTGAATTATCAAACATCTTTCAACAATATTAATTTTATTACTAGCAGTAAAGATGTTTTCTTCATTTAATATTGTGTGGAATATTGCAACATTTCAAAACAAAGTTTTTATGTTTACTTGAATAACTTTTTTGTTTATTTTGTCCTTTTAACAGTTTGTTAAAGTAACACTTCCTGTTTTTACACAAGCTTTGTTGTTCTAATGTTATTTTCTATTTTTTGATCATGTTTGTAGCTCCAGATACTAAAACACTCAGCCAGCAGTTTCCATTCAAACATACACTATATACACATTACCATATTAGCCTGATGATGATGATGATGATGATGAAGACTGGTTTGTTCTGTCTTCATAAATTTGTTTTTCTAATTATTTGTGAACATTATGTCATTTAGTTCTTAAAATACGTACATTTGTACGAGATATCAGTTTTAGTTAATTTCGTAGTTAGTTAACTGTAAAGTGTTAAATCAGACGTTTTGATCAGATGGTGCTACTTTCACAGGAGGAAAGTTACATTTTGTGGTACTTCTGGGTCAAGCAGAACATCTCGCCCGGATATTTCCGGTTAGCTAAGGTCTTTATCTAACCGACCTATTATTACATGGCATATCAGTCACTGAAAAACAACAATAACATCATGAGTTTTGCCTTTTCAAACCCGGATTAGCCAGTGGTTGCTAACGTCACATGCTAATTAGCCACAGCAGCTAGCCAGCTAGCCTCCTGGGATCCCCCGCACAGGAAACCCGGCCGGACCGTACCTTGCGTGATGCTCGCCGGAGCTGAAAGGCAGACGTTACACCACAGCTGGAGGAAAACAAACAAATACAAGACGTAAATATTTCTCCAGCTTTGCGTCGATTTGCTGTGCGCCGCCATGTTGAGCGAATGAAGGGAGGCGGGCTTCACGGTGGCCTGATATACCCAATGGGAGGGGCGGCGTTTCTCTGCGCATGGCTGCGCATCATTCTTTAGCCGGGGAGCAGAGCTGCGCCGCGGTGGGTGGAGTTTGTAGGAAAATCAACAGGAAGCAAGATTCACGACTTGCTTCCCATATTACAAATGGATTTTAGTTAAAGTGTAACATAATTCCCAGCGACCAAGAAACGCTACATTTACCTCCCAATCTAGAGGATAGTTCCTCCCTCACTAGTCCTATCCAGGCTACTTGCCGACTGATGTTATGAGGCTCTCCCTCTTTTTGTTTGAATTCTTTATTCTACCTTAATCTGACATTTCTTCAATTAGTTTCATTGTCACCAAAGATCAGAAAACCTACTTTCACCTAAAGAGGAGCCATTTATCCTAAATAGGGGAAGCTATGAGTAACTGCATCACCAGTCAGAGCAGTGGTGATGCAATATGAGTCTTATTATGGATCTAACTTAGAAGTTAGACATTTTCCCTCCATCTACACACAGAGGGCTCCTCATCAAACCTCCTGCTACATTAAAGCAGGAAGTGAATCCATAAAATCCTGCAGAATGTCTGAAAAAAACCTGGCAGTCAACTCAGCCCTGCAGGAACTTAAAGAAAATCCTGTTTGCAGACACTCCCAGATGACCTTTGCTCCCTCCACCAGGTTGAAGCCGATTCAGCAACAGGAATGCTTTGTTATATTAACATGGATTGTTCTGGGTTTTGTTTGCACAAACTGTTTACATTTCATCTCATATGGAGAGAATTCTTTCCTTAACTGTGACACCGTATGAAACTTTCAGAAATGCATTAGCAGAAAGTTGTACATAAAGTGGAATAATGAAAAATAGTTTTAGGGTTTTACATTATTTGTAGGCAGATTCCAACCTTTGAAAAAAAGAATTGTGAATTATATGAATTTTTGAATAAAACATGTTTGATTTTTATCCAGCTGGTAGAAAATCCATAAATCTTACTCGAGTAAGAGCAGAGATACTTCGTTATGAAATTACTCAAAAATTACAGGGTAGTAAAAAAACTCTTAAAAGTAAAAAAAAAAAAAAAAAAAAGTTAGCCAAGCAAAAGTAAATAGTAACTACTCAGCTTTAGCGTTGTGACAAAAAAGTCGAAGGTTCTTCATTTGTGCCAAGATTATCAAATTAGAAACAAAGAGACAAAAGAAATTGGTTCAAGATGTTCTTTATTTAGACCAGGAAATGACAAAACTGTCAAGTACAATAACCATCAATCCAATAATCCGTTGTGGAAGACAAACCATTTGTTGGACTATTTCTAATCCTTTCATTTCATCCTCCATCCAGAAGCACAAACTCTTCATCAGTTATGTGCTTGACAGTTTACCTGCGAGGGCTGACGCGTCTTTGCCTTCTTAAGACTTTGAGTGGATCTAAAACTAGGCAACACCCTCAATAAAATAGTATTCTCTGTTGCTATATGTAACCAAAAAATCACCAGAAGCACAGACACAAAAGACAGGTGAGACAAAAACACAGAATAATGTGCGTGGGACGTAGTGTCGCTCAGAGATAACCCCTCGCGCCGTTTAATTCACCAAAGACAGACAGGAACTCTCAGTGCGGAAATGTTTGAAGGAAACGTTCCATGACCACCATGTCGTCTGAGTGAGAAGTGCTTTGTACAGCTCTGTAACAGCGCCACCTGGAGCAGTAACAACAGAATTACATGCTAATTGTGTTGTGGGGCTTTTCCCTTTTTCAATTGATTAGAAGTAACAAAAGCATGAAACAGACTTGATGAAGCTTTGTTCTAAACTGGGCTTTTGAACATAAATATGGTCCTTTAAAACTGGATTTGTTTCACCTTCACTGACTTCCACCTGTAACATTTCAAGGGAAGGCAAGGGGCTGGACTACTCAGAGGGTTTAAGATATTTTGGGTGAGGAATAAGTGTGTGAGGAAAAGAGGAAGGCTGAAGTCTTTCCCATCTACGCCTGGAACTCCAGCCCCATGCCGAGCTTGTGGCCGCCCGTGTTGATGTTTTTACCATCCAGGAGAGCAGAAAGCGTCAGCTTCACACCTGCAGAAACACATTTCAACATCAGTTTCACTGCACCGCAGGAATATCCTCCAGAAACGTCAAATATCCAGATGGAAAAACAGGAAATAAAAGGTTCAGGCATCTGAACATGTTTCAATATTATTACTAAGCAGAAATCAGTAGTAAATATTAAAATACTCCATATTTCTCAACAAGACTGATATACATGTAACAATAATAAAATTATGGATTGTTTGGATAAAAGTAAAAACTAAGTTTCACATGGCTAAATCTCCAAACATTTATTGATTTAATGTTTATAAATAGAAAAGAGCAAATTCTAAAAATGCAATGTGATCTATGGATCATCATCTTACTTTAATAGTTAGAAAACTATCAGAAATGAAATCTAAAAATTTTCAGTTCAGCTGGTGCAGAGCAGCAGTTTGGCTTTTACTGCTGCTGTGATGATGATATGTGCAGAATATGGACACTTTAAACATAAATGACAAAATATTAGACTGTGACTGACCACAATAAAACAAAATCTACACTTTTATATCAGGAATGATGACAAATGGTAAAGTGGTATCTAATTGTTGAAAATTGATGAAATAATAATTTTTTGGGTAAAAATTAAAGATTTTTGTAGCAGAAACATTAAACTAATGTGTGATGCGTTTTGGTAACAACGGAGCGAGCCACTCTGACTCTCCCTAAATATTCACCAACACCGAAAAGATGGACGGCGTTTATGACGGAGACAAAACAACGTACTGCAGCGATACTTGGAAAACGAGAATAGCAAGCTAATGCTAACTGGTAAGGAATCTGATGATACTGCAGCATAATAATGCTGGTCAGAATTGGAGCATTTCTCACATTTGTCTGCTAAATAATTAGATAAACAGGAACTTATTTTTCCCCAGTGTCTGAGCCAAATAGAACACTGAGTTAGTATTTTGACTTCCCTTCTGCCCACTACATGCATAACTTTACCACTAAGTGGCATGTCAGGGCAAAACTAAATAATTTGGGAGAAAACTATCAATGTTTCCCCAGCTGCATTACTGTAGTGAAGTTAAACCCTCAGGAGTAAATAACTGTTAGACTTTCAGCTGCTTCCATTCACTGTTGCTACATTTTACTGTATAAAGCTCTCTAATTAAGGAATCAGGTAATAAGCCAGCGTAATAATGCTGGTCAGAATTGGAACATTTCTCAGGCATGTTTCTGCTAAATAATTAGATAAATTCAGTGTTTCTTTCCCTTTAACTTTTTCACATTTCTGGACTAAGAACCTAGAAATGAATTTGACCAATAAACAGAATCGATAAGGAAAATGTGTAAGAAAAGAAGATAAAATAAACCCTTTAAATTATCTGCAGACTGAACTCACCTGGCTTAATATTCTGAGTGTAGCCCAGTCCAATAAGGCTGGAGTTGTTCACCTTCGCCTGTCAAGAGAAACACAGTTCAAATGTTCAGAAATCAAACACTAAAAAAACAGACCCAGAGTTAAAGGAATATAAACATATTGAACAAATGTAAATGTTTAGAAACTCATTTTTAGTCATAATTTAATTCAACAATAAAGTGCCAAGAATGTTTCAAATCTGTGTTGCAGAGTTGGGCTGAGAGTCAAAATGTTCGACTGAAGGTGAGTCACTTCAAATAGAAATGGGCCTAAATAACGACACAAACAACCAGCCGCACTAATTGGCTCTGGTGCAAGTGGGACTTAGGACTAATGTGATAGACGGGACTGAATTAGCAGAGATCGGTCTGTGGTTCGCAGACTTCCTGTTTGGGGTTGCGATCGTCTGTGCCGACCTGCAGCTCTTTTCCCAGGCAGGAACACGTCCGAGGTTAAACAACATGGCCGCTTTCATGATGATTCAAAACAACATGACCTGAGGTTTTAAGGAAGTGGTGTCCAAAGTGCGGTCCAGGGGCCATTTACGGCCCTCTGGAGAAAATGTTTGTTTTAAAGGCGTTTCTGTTGTGACCACTTCCTGAAGGCAGAGTGTTAGAGTAGGAGCTTCTTAAAGAGACAGAAACCCTTTTAAGTCATGTTTAGCATTTATATAACAACTGAAGGTCAAATAATTACTGGATTGTGTTATAAAATGACACAAAGTGGCTGGAAAACTGAATATTTTCTGACCCTGACGTCTTTTCTACGTAATGACTTCGACCCCTCTGGTTTACGGTAAAATAATTTCTATAAATGCAAATTGAAAGTAGGTTATTATTATTTCACTATTATCATTAGATTTTTAAGGTTTTTTTATATAACAGTTTATGGAGAATTTAAATGTTGAACATTGGAAGATAATTGATGTTATTAACAATTGTCATTATTATTATTATGACTTTTTTAACATCTTGTCATGACAGCCAGTCTGTAATGATTTTGTTTATATAATTTATTAATTTATTTTTTTTTTGTTTGGCATACACATTTGTCATAATAAATATAGCAATTATGTAATAATATTTCATTTGCGATTAATAAAGTATTTTTGAATTTGAATACCTTAACTTGGTTTTAACCACAAATTTCTAATAATTGAGATAAGGGGAAGGAATAAATAAGTGTTTCCCACTACAGAGAAGCAGTGCCAAGCTGGTTACTTACAAAGCTGGTTATTTGAAATAAATAAATACATGAAACTCACGGAGAAAGATGCATCAGAATCGATCTGATATTTGGCGGCGATGCCAAAGCGGGTGTTGCTGTTTCCTGCAGTCCAGGCCAAGTTGACGGCCGTCTCCAGCTTGTCGTTCACCTTCTGGTAGATCGACCCGCCAAACTCGGTGCCATCGTTGCTGTAAAGAACCAGCAGGTTACTTTAAATCCTACAAGCTACTAACGTTTGTCTGACCTCACATAAAGACTTCAGAGAGGATTTAAACAGCAGGAACCCTCACGCTCACCATCGCCTCATCTGACT